GCCTGCCGGGGCCACCGCAGGGAAACCCGGAGAGCAGCGGCTGGGGGGAGGACGAGAGGGGGACGGGAAACCCCATCCCTGTAGCCCCCGCCCGGCCTTTCTTCTGCCAGGCAAAATAAGAGAGGGGCTTTTAAACCCTGGCAGTCTCTCAGGCTGCTCCCGAGGGAGGGGAGGCGGCGACCGGGGGTGCTGGGGGTGTCAATCCCCACTGCCCGGGCTGGCTCCTCCGGGGGGCGAAATGCTCGACGGGTCCCTCCCCGGAGACTCCGGCCACTGCAATGCGCATCTCCCGGCGAGGAGGGTCATCTCCCATCCACGCAAGGCCTCGGGGGGAAGGGGGGGAGTGTGAAGGAGTGTCGCCTGGCTCCTAATTCCCCGGTGCACGAGAGGTCCCATCGCCTCCTCTGGGGAGCGGAGTCCTCGGTGCCCGTGGACGGGTAAGGACCGACGGCCGGTGCCCGGCAAAGCCCGCAGCGGTCCAGCCCTTTACCCTGCCACACACAGGAGAAGTTAAAAACCCCCACTTTTACAGAACGAAGCCGCCCCCCTCCCCTCCTTTAATGGTAAACCCAGGTAGGCGGGAGGGCAGGGAGAGGGCTCCGGCGGGGGGAAGGGGGAACGACGGCGCCTTCCCGGCCTCGCACCCCATCAACAGCAAACCGCTCCCGGGGCGCAGGGACAGGGTCTGGGAGGGTTTGACATCTCCTTGGGGTTGGGTTGATTGATTTCGCCTTATTTTTGGTTCCAGGCTCCAAGCCGGAACCGGGTTATACTGACAGGCACGGTGCAGTGAACGCATTGGAATTAGCCGGGAACTATCGACTGTCGTTTATACCGATATGACATTATTAGCGCCCGCCAGCAGCACAGCATTTTACTTAAGACCCTCTCCCCCCTTCCTCCATCCCCCCTCCCGGCGCCACAGTCACATCCCCCGACTGACGTGGACCTGATTTTAGAGCTTCAGCCCCAAATCGGGGCTGAGTGGCAAAGACCTCTCTCTCCCACGAGCTGAAGGGGGGGTCGGGGGGACGACCCTGTAAGGAGCCAACTTACCCCCTCCACTCTGCCAGGAAGAACAGAAGTACTGCCATCTGTGCCCAATACCACGGTACTCTGGCTCAAGGTCACCCAGGCGCCTTTGGCGTTGTTTTGCTCCAGTGTGCTCTTACCAAGGGTTAGATTAGCATCCCCGTCTGTGCTTTGCAAAGCGGGAATTTTGCAGTGAGGGATAGCAGCTTGCCCGACGGCCCCTGCCCCCGGGGTGTGCTTGCACGGAAAGGTTTCCACAGATTCCCTCCGGAGAGTGGAGTTGGCTTGCACCGGGGTGCTGCTGAGCTTGCAGATCCCTACTTTGGTCCTCTCAAAATCATTTGGTTTAGGTTCTTCGGAGGGAAGTGTTTTGTTGTCGTTAGAGAGCGATCGGGGAAGCCTGGACATCGCGGCAGGGGCTTGCGATGGGGCATTCTGCGGTTCGTTTTCGGGGCCGACTCTTACAACTCCCGCACCATCATTGGGTCCAGGAGCAATGGGTTCAGGACTGTTCACAACCTGCTTGCTCATATCCCTTTGACTGGTGTAATCCTAAAATGACAATGTCACATATTTTACCAAAAGAAAAAAAAAATTCAAACAACAAAAAAACAAAAACAACACGTTGGGACTGCAGAGATTCTACGAATTTCTTTCCTCGTGCACAAAACGCGTGCGCTAGAAAATCTGGATAAAAAAAAAAGTGTCGCAGAATTTCGAGGTGCCTCGGCTCGCCTCCTTGCCCTCTCATTCAACGTTAATATTCTGGGGGAGAAAACAGTAAGGTACACAAAAAAACCTCAAAATAAACAAACAAAAACCCGCACCAGCGTCTGCAAACCCGTAATTCGAGTTAAATAACTGTTTCTACAGCACTGCGCCGCCAGACCTCGTTAGATTTCACATCACGACTGTAGGATGCTCCTTTCCCTATCACCAGTGTAGAAAGATTCTTTAATTTTACGCCCCATTTGCTTTCTGTCATTCAACAATGCACATCGGCTTTTTTTTTTTTTTTTTTTTAATATATATAGGCAATAGACAAGCTGCCCTGTAGGAAGCCGGAGACGTTAAAAAAAAAAAAAAACCAAAACAAAAAAAGAAATAGTGCTGATGAGCATTTCTGAGCTGGCTGCTACCCTTCAAAACCCGACTGCAAAACAGCGAAACGCAAAAATAACCACACCACCACAGCGGAATTAATGACATTAACAGCTAGCTTTCCCTATTCTTTTTCTTATATTTTCGACTCGCACACCTCTAAAGATTTGTTTAAGCATTGCCGTATTCATTAAACAGGTTACCGAAGAAAATCCCGCTACCCCTCACACCCCGCCTATCCCTCTAGTTTTAAATTACGTTTTAAAACGCATCGTCTTTTTATACCTTCAACAACCCGCAGCCAAAGCCTACCTTCTCCATCAGTGTAATATTAGCTTTACAAATACACCTTTTTAGAAGAAGCTTCCACAAAACTATTCGTCACCGTTTCCGCAGCAAGTTTTCTCTTCGTCTTAATCCCACCACCTCAGCGCCAGGGACTCGGGCACTGTCCGACTGCACTTCGGGGTACCACCGGTTTTCCCGCCTCCCCCCACCCCCCTTCCCCGGCAGCAGCCCTACCCCCGGCTCCGCGGGAAACTTCCCGCGCTGGCTCCGCGGACAGTACCGCGGACAGCTCCGGCAGCACCGCGGACAGCTCCCCTCCCCTGCTCTGGCAGGAGGGTTGGACTAGATGATCTCCAGAGGTCCCTTCCAACCCTAACAATTCTGTGAATTCTGTGAATTCCTCCCGTACCGCTTCCCTCCCTTCAGCCCTTTTTCGGTAGCAAAGGAAAGAAATCAAGCGCTTACCACGTCTTAAATAGCCACAGATCGACTCGGTAGAGGTAAAAACAGCAGTACAGGCAATTGAGGGACTGGGTTTTGCCCAGTCCAGAGCAAAGCTTTCTATACTTCCTTGGGAAAGACTGGGTTTGCGTCAGTGCATAGCAAGGTGCCCTTCGTTTGACATTTTCTTGATAATAAGAGTTTGATAAATCATTACCCTTGGTTTCAGATTTTAAAGGGACACCAAGAAGCCAGAGCGCCGGCTAGCTGTCACTCAGGCGGCAGTGGGATTGCGTGTTCCCTGTGACTCATACGGGGGCTGATTACTAAACCAGATCCAGCAGGAGCGCTGAAGAACTTTCTTGCTGGTAATTAGAGGGAACATGTGAGAAACACGTACTACTGCACCCAAAGCAAGAGAGAAATGGGGAGAAACCTTCCATTTCTACCCCGCTCCCCCCCTCCCGATTACTGTAGTGTGTGATTCCTCTTTTTTTTTTTTTCCTTTCCTCTCTCCGCAGTTCACAGATCAGAAGTTATAACAGATTTTAAATATATATTATATATGTTTTTAACACATCTCCACCTACCTATACATACAGAGAGACGTTCACTGCGTATAAAGTACACAAACACATTTTAATTGTCTTCCCTGCTCTCGTTGCAACAGACAACATTATAGCGTTTATTTTTACTGTGTTTCGTGGAGGGAAACCCTCAGCCCTAATTAAATTAAAACGATACACACAATAAAGCAATCTTCGCTTTCATCAAAACGATCTTAACATTTAAGTGGGGGAAAAGATGACGGCAACCACAGTCAAGTTGTTGGTGTTCTTCCCCCACCCATCAAAGCATTTATGTTTGAGAACTGGGGGGGGGGAATTACTAATAATTAAAAGTCAGATATTAACCCAGAATTGGTTTTGCAACGAAATAATTCTCCCATGGTCACCTCTCCTAAGTGTTATTTGCTATTTTAGGGGCTTTCTCAAAGATTCGTTGCGCACAAGGTAACTTCGCTCACGCTGCCCAAAATAAACAGCGCGGTGGCAAATCGGGATGCTCCCTGAGCAACCTTCCCGGTTGTTTCAGCGTCAGAGCTGCTGTTCCTCCGCATACGCGCTGCTAGCGTCAGCTTCTCGGGAGAATATTTTATATTTTAGCGTAAGCAGTGCGAAGAGTGCGCCGGTGCGGGGGAGGGGAGGAGAGGAGAGGAGGGCGCTAAACTCGCCAGCGCTACCCGCATTTCTTGTACGTCCTTGATGCTACGGGTTACTAACGCGGCTTTCGGTGGAGTAAATTAAAAATTCGCAATAAGCCAGGTAATTTTGCAAAGCCTTTGGGTTGCTCGGTGCCGGTATGAGCAGGGGACCCGAAAAGCTTTGTTCCACCGCAGGCAGCTGCCCGCAGCGCCGGGCTGCGGCTGGGAGCGGAGGGGGGGAGCTGCGGAGGTTGCCCAGCGCCGCCAGCATTCAGCCCAACTCCTTTACATCACACCTGGTCATTGCGGCTGGAAGCAGCAATTCACCCGCAAGAATTAGTAAAAAGCACCATGAATGCCAAGGAAATTTGGGCTACCAAAGCAGAACATCAAAAATGGTTTCTGTTCTTCCCCGCCCCCCCGGATCAGGAAAGATCACCCCGTCTCCCAACTCAAATATGCTTTCGCCTTACAGCAGAGCTTCAGAACATGTTTATAACACAGCTGCCGTTAATTTATTATGCCGTTGCTTCGAACATATACAAGCACGGGGGCCTACTAATACTAGAGGTATATAATTGTAAGACGCACGTATAAGTATTTTTACACATACACAACGTGTATGCAGATTGTTGTACGTTCCTCTCTTCAAATAGATTCTTTCAGCCTCTGTTCTACCATATACTCTCCCCTGGTATATTCAGAAATCGAGAGGCGCACACAGAAGCTAGCATTTGGGGGGGAAGGGAAGAAATCGGTGGTATTTTGCAGTGTTCCCTTCTCAACGCATCCTGCAGCCGCAGAACAATCTGGTCGGAGCCAGGGAAGGGAGCGGGGTCGTTAGCTCAGTTATGCTGCCCTTCAACTTACATTAATGCCTCTAAAGGCACGGAGCAAATTAAAAGCGACAAGGCAGCAGTATTTTGGTCATGAAGACCCCCAAACCTCTTTCAGATTCACAGGGTCGACCCAGACCGTTTTTCAGAAAATTGACAAAATTAATTCTTCGCGTTCTTTTTTAAGTGATTTTTTTTTTTTTTTTTTTTTTGCTTCCTCCATCAGCACTGAAACGTGAAATCGAAGTTTCACCCCCGGAAAAGAGGAATCGATCTCCTTTGCCGTCAGAAAAGGCCAGAGCACCCCTCTTCCCCCCGCACCCCGCGGAAGGGCGCTCTCGGTGGGGCACGACGGGAGGTTCCCGCTGAGGACCGGAGCCGCGGCCCCGTGCTTGGACCAGAGGGAAACCCACAGAGAAAAAACGGCTTGGATTCCAACATTTTCCCTTTTCCCACCACCCCCGTCGCCGGCTGCCGAGACGGCAGAGCCGAGCTTGCCCAGGGCCGTGCCGATCCTGCCCTTCTCTTCCCACGCACCGTTTCAGGTGGAGACATCCCCTCCTTGGTTGAAACTCCTGGTTTGGAGTGATGGTTCCTTTCAAAAAACCAAAACAAATCCCTCCAACGCGGGGTTTTAACGCCCCAGTTAACTGCCAGTAAGTTCATTAAAATGACTTTTTGGAGCTCCTTCTTGGTTTCTCATCATCACTCCCAAACGCCCGTCCCAGAGACAAGCCGCCCCTCCACAGTCCCGACCACGTAACTAAGGAATTAACGAAAAAGACCTGGCTGCAGCTCACACCAAACACACACCAACCTCATCGCGGGGGGGTGGGGGGGTGGGGTGGGTGGTGTCACC